CAACTCTCTTGGCTCTGTCTCGCTCTGTCGCTCAGCTCTCTTGCGCAACTCTCTCTCCATCGTGTAACTCTCTCTCTCTCTCCGACGTAGTCGTCTTCCTCCCTCAACCATCCAAGCTTAACTCCACGGTTCACATCCATGAGGTACTATTCATCTTCCTTTTCTTAGAAATTTGGGGTTTTTGTGAATTTGGTTTAGGGTGTATGGATTTGTATGAAATTGGTTTAGGGGTTTCTTCAAAATTGGTTTAGGGTTTTAGAGTGTAGAGGTTGCTCTAAAATTGGTTTATGGTTTATGGGTTTGCATAAAATTGGTTTAGGGGTTTCTCTAGAGTCTAGGGTTTGGAATTGATGAGATATCTGACCTGGGCTTCAGATTACGCTAATTTGTTTTTCTTTATTGTGATTGTGATTTTAGGTAAGGATTGGGTGATGAGTTTTTATTTTGAAGGGTTTGGAATTGATGAGATATCTGATATGGGCTTCAGGTTTCCCTAATTTATTTTTCTTTATTGTGATTGTGATTTTAAGTAAGGATTGGGTGATGGGTTTTTGTTTTGGGTCATCTGATATGGTTTTGAGATTGGTTTCATATCTATGATTTTGGTTAGTGTTAAAGTAAATAAATGGGTATTTCAAATGGCATAAAAAACTTCACATACGGGCCATGGATGATGTTCAAGGGGTTCTTACTTCTTTGCATTTCCTTGCACAAAATCATGAATTGATGAAAAGGAGTACAGAGCAGATGGCACTATACAATTGGGTTGTGTGTACACTTTCTTCATGATTTTCTTTGACAGATTGATTTATGGTATTGATTTGTATGTTAATTGGGTATTATAGGTATTGCTAAAAAATTATGGGTGAGGTTTCTTTCTAGGTTCAATTCAAATAAATAAGTGCATATGTGGTGCAACAAGGTCTTTAATTTTTGTAGATGTTTACTAGTCCTCTTATGTGAAAATATAAGTTGTTTACTTTGTAAGATGGTGCAGAGTTTCAAATCTAAACGAAATCAATTTCATTCATACTTAAGGTTGGAATGTATATTTTTTTATTCACTAGGTAGATGTGTTCGATGGACTGGTATTACTGCATGACATGACAAACCTTGCAAATCCTCACTTTGACTGTCACCATATGACGGTTTTCTAGTATAGAGTTCTTCAACAGAGCAGTTACTCTGCTACTCTCATTATGAAGTACTTTTTGCCCGTGATCTAGCCTAGTTACTTCTTCGTCATGTTTTGTGGCTCAGAAGGAATTGTTTTAACATCACTTTGTTTTTGAGTGTCATTCGAGCATGGTTCAAATGGGTAATGAGGAGACTTGTTTTTGTTGCTTGTTGATACTGCTCTGTGACTGATCATGTCATAGGTGCATGAATAGGGATAGAATTCAAGACATGGAAGGAAAGAAATTTGAGGAAGGGGAGGGTTAGGGATTAATGTATTTCTTCTTCTTAAGGACTAAGGTGGCTAATGATGAATGAAGAAATTCTACCTCAGCCCATGAACCTATATGTTGTTTGTTCAATTTACCCATTAAATGCTTCTGTGACTAAAGAAATAAATTTGCCCGTCCTGGTTTCATTTAATTTCGAGCTCCTTTGTTTATTGCGTATGTATCATGTAATTAATTATTCCTTTAGCTGCAAAGTTCTATTTGATGAGACATCCACTTGTTATGCATTATTTGTCAGTGAAGTCTGGTACTATAGTGATAATGGCTGAAGAGGTTCATAATTTTATATATTGAAATGCAAGGCTTAGAATAGTGGATGTGGGATTTTATATTCTCAACAATTTGACTAATGTTTTAACAATTTTGCTGATGTTGTTTTCTCTTTATTTATTCTAATCAGAAAATATCTTCCGATTCTTGTAGGTACTTGATAGGATGCTGCAATTTAATAATACTAAAGCTCATAGGAGAAAGCAAATCAAGTCAATGTTTTCTTTGTATCCATGAATTGGATTACTAAATGTTGCTGTAAGTTATTCTGGTCAGTTTAAGTATCTTTTTATTTATTTTTTTTACATGTAGTATTTTATTTTATTTTTCACAGATTTTGTTTATCATTCCATTCAGCAACATTTAGTAATCCAATTCATGCGAAAAATAAAATAAAATACTACATGTAAAACAAAAAATAAATAAAAAGATAATTAAATTGACCACAATAACTTACAGCAACATTTAGTAATCTAATTCATGGATACAAAGAAAACATTGACTTGATTTGCTTTCTCCTATGAGCTTTAGTATTATTAAACTGCAGCATCTTATCAAGTACCTACAAGAATCGGAAGATATTTTCTGATTAGAATAAATAAAGAGAAAACAACATCAGCAAAATTGTTAAAATATTAGTCAAATTGTTGAGAATATAAAATTCCACATCCACTATTCTAAGCCTTGCATTTCAATATATAAAATTATGAACCTCTTCAGTCATTATCACTATAGTACCAGACTTCACTGACAAATAATGCATAACAAGTGGATATCTCATCAAATAGAACTTCGCAGCTAAAGGAATAATTAATTACATGATACATATGCAATAAACAAAGGAGCTGGAAATTAAATGAAACCAGGATGGGCAAATCTATTTCTTCAATCACAGAAGCATTTAATGGGTAAATTGAACAAACAACATATAGGTTCATGGGCTGAGGTAGAATTTCTTCATTCATCATTAGCCACCTTAGTCCTTAAGAAGAAGAAATACATTAATCCCTAACCCTCCCCTTCCTCAAATTTCTTTCCTTCCATGTCTTGAATTCTATCCCTATTCATGCACCTATGACATGATCAGTCACAGAGCAGTATCAACAAGCAACAAAAACAAGTCTCCTCATTACCCATTTGAACCATGCTCGAATGACACCCAAAAATAGAGTGATGTTAAAACAATTCATTATGAGCCACAAAACATGACGAAGAAGTAACCAGGCTAGATCACCGGCAAAAAGTACTTTATAATGAGAGTAGCAGAGTCACTGCTCTGTTGAAGAACTCTATACTAGATAACCATCAAATGATGACAGTCAAAGTGAGGATTTGCAAGGTTTGTCATGTCATGCAGTAATACCAGTCCATCGAACACATCTACCTAGTGAATAAAAAATATACATTCCAACCTTCAGTATGAATGGAATTGATTTCGTTTAGTTTTGAAACTCTGCCATCTTACAAAGTAAACAACCTATATTTTCACATAAGAGGACTAGTAAACATCTACAAAAATTAAAGACCCTGTTGCACCACATATGCACTTGTTTATTTGAATTGAACCTAGAAAGAAACCTCACCCATAATTTTTTAGCAATACCTATAATACCCAATTAACACACAAATTAATACCACAAATCAATTTGTCAAAGAAAATCATGAAGAAAGTGCACACACAGCCCAATTGTATAGTGCCATCTGCTCTGTACTCCTTTTCATCAATTCATGATTTTGTGCAAGGAAATGCAAAGAAGTAAGAACCCTTTAAACATCATTCATGGCCCGCATTTGAAGTTTTTTACGCCATTTGAAATACCCATTTAGTTACTTTAACACTAACCGAAATCATAGATATGAAACATAACCATATCATCAGAAGAGAAAATAAGCATGATACAATGGTGTACCTCCAGAAAAACCGCAGGAATGAAATACCCATTCATTTACTTTAACACTAACCAAAATCATAGATATGAAACCAATCTCAAAACCATATCAGATGATCCAAAATAAAAACCCATCACCCAATCCTTACCTAAAATCACAATCACAATAAAGAAAAACAAATTAGGGTAATCTGAAGCCCAGATAAGATATCTCATCAATTCCAAACCCTAGACTCTAGAGAAACCCCTAAACCAATTTCATACAAACCCATAAACCATAAACCAATTTTAGAGCAACCTCTAAACCCTAAAATCCTAAACCAATTTGGAAGAAACCCCTAAACCAATTTCATACAAATCCATATACCATAAACCAAATTCACAAAAACCCCAAATTTCTAAGAAAAGGAAGATGAACAGTACCTCGTGGATGTGAACCGTGGAGTTAAGCTTGGATGGCTGAGGGAGGGAGACGACTGCGTCGGAGATAAAGAGAGTTACACGACGGAGAGAGTTGCGCAAGAGAGCTGAGAGACAGAGAGAGACAGAGCCAAGAGAGTTGAAAGAGAACCCAATTTCTGAAAAAGTGATACAGGTTCAATCAGTTTACAATAAATATTATTTATAGGTGGTAGTTCTAAAATTTTTGGGGAGGGGTGGTATTTTGGCAAAAAATTATAAAATGGGCGGTATTTTGAGCTATTTCCCAATTAAAAAAGTATTTCACTCACTAATGTATCGAATGGATGTGTGAGATTACTGTTGATTGATATCTAACTTCTAAGAGCAGTTCCATTGGTATGTATTATCCAGGCAAAAGGCCCTGTAGGCTGCAAAAACACACTCCACCAATCAAGCCCGAGAAAATGGTGGTCTCCAGCAAGACTAGGCAGGCTCGAAGGCAAAAATAGCCCGAGTTGTTGCTTGAGGGCAAAGAAAATTGTAAAAAATTCTGAAAAATACAAAGAAATTTAGAAATTTTTGTTATAAGTACTTAGCAATTTTTTATTTATTAATCTCATATGTATAAATAAAATTAATTTCATGTGAATAGTAATTGCTCTTGAGTTGCCATGACAATGAGTGGAAAAGCCAAAAAAAAAAAAAATGCCAGAGCAAATACTATTCACATGAACAGTAACCACCCGTACTTATTATTTATCATGGCAAATGAGTAGAACTGCCTTAAGGGAATGAAATTTCACTTCAAATTCCAGAAATATTTTTCTTTTGATGGGCTGGGCCGAAGATATAGAAAAAGGATAGAATCGCCATTGGCTATTATTATTGTCCAATCAAACACCTGCTGATTGGATCATCCCCGCCATGTGGCGCCCCCAAACTCTTGACTGAGATACGCGCCTCTCTTTCCATCTACAGAAGAGAAAAGTGATCAATGAAAAATGCCTTTATCTGAGGTTCCGTTTTCGGTGGTGCCTTCTCTTCCAAGTCGCAAGGTAATTTAAATGAAACCCGTTGGTAATTTCGAAATGTGCAACCAAAGTCTTGACCTACCTCTTTCTTTTGTATTGCCACAAGCTGTAGGTTGCTGCTGTTACTTGCAATCGTTTGCCACCAAAAACTTATGGCGGCAACTTTAGCACACGCAAAGTTGCTGCTGCATTCAGTGTCTCTAGAAATCTCAAATTTGTGGCAAATTCGGCTTCTCGGGATGAAAACGACGCTACTGCTTCGATTGAGTTTGATGACGTCTCAATTCCTAGCGACTATTCTGAGCTCCTTGAACAGGTAATTATGCGCTTTCTATTTTGCCACTGGTTTGGTGTGAACTTATATTTTTTATTTAAATTTTTATTTGGGATATGCGTTTTCCTAAACTTTGCAAACCATGTCTTATTCCACCTTATCACAAGCAGCACCTCCCTCTCTCTCTCTCTCTCTCTCTCTCTCTCTCTCTCTCTCGTTTACACTGTCAGCATTTCACTTGATTTGTTAGGTGTCAGGTGTGGCTTTGGTTTCTAATTTACAGCTATTTGGTGCTAAGTGTTTTCTTGGGCTACATGACAATTGATAGGCCAGAAAGGCAACTGATTTGGCTTTGAAGGACAACAAGCAGTTGATGGTGAGTTAGAATTTTATTGAGAAATAATGAAAACGTTATACCAGGCCATTTGTGAAATTTTATGGAGTATGTTTGTCGGGATGACGACAAGTCACTTGTGCAGGAGATTGAGTTCCCTACTTCTGGACTTGAATCTGTACCAGGTTCCTTCCACCAGCTTATATATATGTTTACATCTGTTTGTTCCTTCCACCATCAACTTGCATTATGTTTTTCATCTTAATCCATTCTACACATTTCAGGGGATGGCGAAGGAGGAATAGAAATGACAGAAAGTATGCAGCTAATTCGAGAATTTTGTAACCGCTTAATAAACCCAGAGAAAGCCACCCGGACCAGAATAGTAATTTTCTTCATCTTTAACCTCTCTTTTCTTTTTCGGAAGATAAATAACTGCAGTTTCACATTTACTTAGGGGATTGTGATGGACTCATTTATACGTACATGAATATTTTCTTGTGAGAAATTATACAGCATTAATTTCTAAGAAGCAGAGACGCTAACTAAAAAAACTAAGTTCCCTGAACCAAATAAGACGGAACTCTTCTAAATTAGTTTGTTAAAAGGAAACATGCTATTCTGTTTTAATAGTTGAAATCAATCTGTTACCGAAATTTGATGTTCTATTTTGTGGATTCTTCAAGATATGACTCAAGCTACTGATATTTGCATAAGCTATAGTCTAAACTACTATAAACTATGGGGAAGGGCTTTCGAACTCAGGTGCAAAGGGGCAACACCTGCCTTGGTCAGCTGGCCTAACCCATGTCTGAGAATATGCAATGCATGTACATGCGTTGGTAAATGCATGTGATCACTGTTGAGCATAGATTTCTAAGATTTGTTTTCTATATCAAGTTCCACATGATACAAGCTTTCTGGGAGTGTTGCTGTGAAAGGTTTCACATTATCTTTACTTCTTAAGGTGTTTGCTTGTCTTCTTGAACCACATAGTAGCATATATCATCAAAAATCCTTTTCTGTGATCCACAACTCTGTAGTAACCTAACTACTCTATTTGTTCCTTTTCCTTGGTTATCTTTTTTAAGTACCTAACCTGTAAGTAAAGTGTATTAACCTTTGTATGAAAGCTTTCAGTTCTTCCCTGAGGCCAGCGAAGTTAAATTTGCAAGAGAATCAGTTTTTGAAGGAGCTTCCTTCAAGCTGGACTATCTGACAAAGCCATCATTTTTTGAGGATTTTGGTTTTGTTGAGAAAGTGAAAATGAAAGACCGTGTGAAGCCAGAAGATGAACTTTTCCTGGCTGCCTATCCATATTTTAATGTCAACGGTAGTTCCAAATATCCCTTCTTATAATTGTTCCAAAATCTAATGCAGAGGGAACGCATTTTTCTTTTTATGGGATCTATGATCATAGCAAAGAATATGATATCTGACTATACATAGCAAAGACCAAATTCAAACCAATAAGAAATCAAAGAGAAAATTGAGCTCCTAGATATAACAATAAGATTTTTTATTCTCTTTCTCCCGTTCCTCTTTTCTTCAGTGGATTACATTAAGGTTCTATATCCCATTAGGTTTTCCGATAGCGCTGCCATTTCTAAAGACATGAGTTTACAATTTTTTAACACTGAATTTTTTGGATTTTCTCATCACACTTTTCTTGATGTCTGAGTTTTTCTCTAGTTCTTGCAAATTACCTTCAACACTTTCTTAATGATTTCTTCCTCTTTCTTGCAAGTACGTCTATGTGCTAGACAATCCTGAAACGAATAATTTATTCCAAGGCCTGCAACATATCCTCTTCTTTTTAAGGCCTGCAATCTCTTTTTACTTCGTTTTCTTGTTTCTTTTTTGACCTACTGGTAACACTATTACTCCCACGGCAATATGAGGATGGCCATGCTCAGGATGAGCTTTTACCCTTATATCCCAGTATTCTAAGCTAGTTCTTTTTGACTATTTGGTGAGAGTTCCAAACTAAGTTACATTTGTTCTCATTCTTGCTTTTGTTTCATTTGCATTTTTTGGATTTAATGGAGGGTACATCTCTAATTTCAGCAGTTCTTGTTTTACCTCTTTGCTAGTCTTGTTTTTGCTGCTTTTATTTATTGGCTTTGTCTCTTTTCTCGTCTTTTGGTGGCAAAACTTTTATTTTGAAACGGCCATTATATTTTGTGCTCTGTTTGGATGAGGGTAGGATTCAAACCATCAGCTCTAACATGTTAGAAAATATAACACAGTGAAAACAGAATCTACATAATCATTGTGTGGCGGTGTTTCTAGCAAAGAAATATTACATCGACATGTATCTAACAAAGACATAAATGATATGTATGGCTATGGCTATACAGAGTTTCTAGACAGCACTAAGATGACTTTTGAAACTTTTTATCCTCTTCTATTTCTCTTCTCATATCAGTAAACCTCACATAATTGAATATACATTTCTGGACACATAATTGACTAAATTCTGATTTAATCTCCCAACAGTTAGTGATCAGTTTGTACTTATTTCTTGCAATGCAGAAATGCTCGTGGTCGAAGAACTTTACAAAGAAGCTGTTGAGAACACTTCCAGGAACCTAATTATTTTCAATGGAGAACTTGACCGCATAAGATCTGGGTGTATCCTTTGCAAATTTTAGATGGTCTTAATATATATTCTTCATCCAATATAGTTATGCACATCAGTATTTATGCCCACTATTATATCAGTATTGGCGACCAATCGATCAGTGCCATTGCATTCCTATTACAAGCCATGAATGCATTACAGCATCAGGATAATACATTAGGATTTTTGAGAATCAAAACCATGAAGCATAATTCTTGAAACCCTTAGTGATCTTTTCCATGACATTCATAACCCTTTTTCTTGAATGAAATAAGATTATCCGCCTTTCTTCTACCCGAAGCTCGCTGCACTTTCCCAGACCCTATTTCCAGTTATGGAGACTGTATACTACATTCACAATTTTAAGGGACGCAATGGAGGGACCCTTTTCAGGTTTGCTAGCTACTCATACTCTGTCTGTTTCAGTTATATACAAACCAAGAGATAGATGTGTGCTGTTTTTCTTTTCAACAGGTCTGTGATACGAAAAACTTACTAACCTTTTATGTATTGATTTATTATGCTGCATTTAGGTGCTACCCAGGTCCATGGAAAGTGTTCAGAAAAGTGAGGAACAGATACGTTTGTTTGCACCAGCAGGAAGCTATGCCATCGCTAAAGGAAGTGGCTTTAGATATTCTTCCATCGGCTTGAGTTTTTGTTGCCTAATCAGCTCATTCGGTGAGCCGTAAAGCATATCATCTTCGTGCCTTCTGTATTATAAGAAAAGTAGTATAAAGCTATTACAGCATTTGCTTCAATGTTGTCAAAATTTGATAAGTATTTGAGAATAAACTACTAACAAAATATGCAGGATATGCTAGTTATCTATATAAATATACATAAAAACAAGTTGCACCCCAAATCCGTGTTCAAAACGTATGTAGGTAGCTTGTATGTGTAAACTAGAGGTCGGCACAGTTCGGTTCGGCCCACCTCCACGGTTTCACCCCTAGTGTAACCTATTGACCCACATTGGCTGTAGGCCATAAGTTTAAGGTATATGCCTAGTTATATCAAGTTCTTAATATTTGTAAAAGCAAACAAACCAATATAGATAAGTAATAGGTTTGTAGTTCAAGTAATTAAGACTAGGGGTGGGTCTTAAGACTCTGATCTCCGAGGTTTGGTGTTCAAATTTCCCTCCCTAATATCGCTTACATCAAAACAAACCAACATAGCTGCTTTGACAAATCAATCATGAAAGCCAATCCATAATACCCTACAGTCAGAATCTTTTCACCTAACTCTCTCCACATTATAATATGAATTTCACTTTTACATTACTCGTTCATGATGTCCACCGACCTAATCTCAAAGGTCGGTTACTCGGTTTTAGAATTTCACACTCGTAGCAATTAAAATAAAAATTAATAATCTAAACAATAAAATAATAAAATAATAGCACCGTTGCCAAGTGTCCTCGTTTCAGAGAGATCTCCTGCAAGTTAGAAGTTTCCCCTTCAACTGTTTCAACGAACCAAACAGTCAAACCCCTCCTTTTTCATTAAAAACTTAAAACCCCACTCCTACCAAGCAGACAACCTGTGTCATCAGAGCTCTCTTTTGAACATCAATTCCTTCGTAGCTAAGCTTTCTTCTTCTCCATTCTTCTATAAAAACCCAGAACCATATCCAAATCCAAAACACAACCAAATTGAAGATGGCAAATGAGATATGGATCGTTCCATTTTTTGGGCAGGGTCATCTGTTCCCATTAATGGAGCTCTGCAAGCAAATAGCCTCCAGAAACTTCAAAGCCGTTTTCGTCATTTCCTCCAACCTTTCCTCCTCTGTCCCTTCATCTCTCCGCCAATTCCCACTTGTCCAAATCGCTGAAATCCCAGATGAAATCCCACCACCATCGTCGTCTGGTTCATCTCCGCTGCCTCAGCCCAGCTCAGGCCCGCCCCGCCCCCACCATGATGGCCATAATCAGATGGGCGTTGGCCTTGAAAAGCTGCTCTCGACCCGATCCGATAATCCGGATTCTGCAACACCCGTTTGTGCTGTCCTTGACGTCATGGCGGGCTGGAATGCCAAGGTTTTTAAGAAATTTGGAATTCCAACTGTGACCATCTTCACTTCCGGTGCTTGTTCTGCTGCCATGGAGTATGCCATGTGGAAGGCCCAACCCTTGGATATCAAATCCGGGGAGACCCGTTTGCTCCCCGGGCTACCCGAAGAAATGGCCCTCACGCTATCTGATCTGAAACAACATTCTCGGGAGCCACCGCCACCCAATCATGGCGGCCGTCCACCACCAGGGGCAGGTGCAGGTTTTCCTCCACCTGGTCCACCTCCTAGTGGGCATAGCGATGGCCCACCACTAAGCTTAGGTGGAAATTTTCCTCCACATGGCCTGCCTCCACCATCAGGCCCAGGTGTAGATTTTCCTCCACCTGGCGCACCTTTCGATGGACCTGGGCAGCAAAGAAGGGGCCCACCCAAACCAGGCGGTCGACCTCTTTGGGTAGATGAAGCGGACCGCTCTATTGCCTTAATGATCAACACGTGTGATGATTTGGAGCGCCCATTTATAGAATACCTAGCCAAACAAATTGGGAAACCGGTTTGGGGAGTGGGCCCGCTTTTGCCTGAACAATACTGGAAATCAGACGGTTCAATTCTCCGCGACGGCAAACTCCGAACCAGCAGTCGAAGATCCAACATCAGCGAGGACGAGGTGATTGAGTGGTTAGATTCGAAGTCAAATGGATCAGTACTATATGTGTCATTCGGAAGCGAGGTTGGTCCTACTGTGGAGGAGTTCTCAATACTGGCAGAGGCATTAGAAGCATCAAACCGGCCATTCATATGGGTGGTCCAATCCGGTTCAGGTAGACCGCCGGGTCCGCCCCATGCCGGTGCAAAAGCTGAAGAAGGATATTTCCCTCATGGATTGGAAGAACGGGTGGGTAAAAGGGGTCTGATAATACATGGATGGGCACCACAGCTGTTGATACTGAGCCACCCATCAACAGGAGGATTTTTATCGCACTGTGGATGGAATTCAACTGTGGAAGCAATTGGGCGTGGGGTCCCATTTTTGGCGTGGCCAATCAGAGGCGACCAACACCATGATGCCAAATTGGTGGTGAGTTTTCTGAAAGTGGGGTATCCGATTTCTGATGAAATTTCAGAGAAAATCAAGAAGGATGATATAGTGAAGGGAATTGAGAAGCTGATGGGTGATGAAGAAATGAAACAACGAGCTGTTAGGCTTAGTGCCAAGTTTGAGCATGGCTTTCCAACGAGTTCGGTTGCTGCATTAGATGCTTTTAGGGATTTTGTAGCTCAAAAAGCAGCTTAAGCTTACTGAATTTTCATGTGTTGTGTTTTATTAGATGCTTTCTCAGTGTATCAATGTATCAGGGCCTACGTATTCTAACCAAAATTTACCTTATCTCACATCAGTAACATCGTTTTTATGTGATTAATGAGTAATTTCCCTTTATTTTATTTAAATGAACTTTAATCTTTTATTAAGGAAGTCTCGTAATTTTATTTTATTTTTTGGAGGAACCGAAGTCTTGTCTTTCAATACGCCTATAACGCAGAAATAAAGGAATCTAATTGATGAGTAAGTTTCTTTTCATCATACAATGAATAATAATTAATTAATTAATTAATTAATTATTGGACAAAGGCAGCATGGTGCATTAAAGACTTTTAACATCCTCCACCAGATTCCCACTCTTTAAAATTAATATGTAAAGCCTTTTTCTGTAATTCAAAATTAAAAATGAATATAATTATTTTAACATAATTCCACTCCAGTTTCCCATCCAAAGAGTACCAAAAGGATCCTTGTGCTTGAAGATATTAATATTCTTGGCATTGCAAAGAAATGGTTATCAGCATTACTGAATAAATTATAACTTGCGACTCAAGTAACTGAACTCCCAATTTGTGGCAAGCGGAGTTTACGGTTTCGTAGTGTTATTTTCTTTCATCTTTTGGTCTTTATCGTTTATGAATTCCTGCAAGTAGAAATGGTTCCCTTCCCATTAGATGTGCTAGTATTTAGATCAAGTAAACTTAAGAATAATGAGCTTAATTTAGGAATAAGAGGCTTCTAATCAATGTTTATAATTTACGACGAAACGACCTAAACAAGACAATTAATAAACAGGTCAGGTTTATAAAACTAACCCGAATGGCAACTCATACTAATGCTTTTTTTTCCTTTTCCTTTTTAAACAAACCCACAGAATTCAAGAGAATTGATAAGTGATACTATTGTAATATTCTAAACGAACAGAAACAGTACAACTCGAACAACTCAATTGGCATCTCCAATGAAAAGAAAACTGTTTTTATGGCAATCCGAAGAATACAATAAACGAATTAAACAAATGAAACATCTCCTGTTGGCTAGGGAATAGAGTTCTCTTATTGAATTTTGCGGATAATGTACCTCAAACTCAATGACCAGGGTCAGCTGCTGTGCTATAAGTATTTACTGCAACTAACCTGTAGCCAGAACTCTCTGGATAAGTAGCCATGTCAAGAACTGGTTCGTGCCTCGGAACATACAAGGGCCAAGAGAGTCTGCCTTAATACATTATATGCTAGAGCACAAAACAGTTCCAAAAGGGACTTTATAACGAACCAACAGCCCTATGCGGTTCCCATTTGGTAAAATGTTCTCACGAATACGTACTAAGATGGGTATCCCGCAATCCCCAATCTAGGGCCTTCAGGAATGGACATAGCCATTTCTTTACCAATGAAGATCACTCAGAAACACCTCAAACTCACAAGACTAAGTATGCAACAGTCTTGAGAGGCTCGAAAGAGAAAAAAGAATTTACTTCAAAAAAAGAGTTACAGAAAACAATTTACCTAGTTATCATAACAGTCCTGTCACTATTTTATGCAAAAATTGCACTTGAAACAGACGACCTTCATTCCTGAAATGAGATATGGCAATGAAACCCGGAGGCATGCATATCTGAACCAATGATTTTGTATGAAATCAGTAAGGGTTAATTGTCTGTCCATCATGATGGATCCGGTTCCAGCTTTGGTACTATGGCAGATTTGAGATCTATATGAGAAACACGGACGGCACCAATTAGCCGCTCTGGCAATTCATCTGTAGTGTTTGCCTGTAGGTAACCATTTCCTAGTCAATATACAATGTAACATAACATTTGCCAACGATTGCTCACATGCATTAAATCAAGCAACGAAATACCAAGAAACCTAGTATCTTCACGCCTCTGACATCCGTTCATTAGTCAATCATACATTTTATATCAACCAAGATAGAATATTAGCTATCAGAAATACTAAATAACTTAAGCCACCACTATTATTCTACTTAAATATTCATGACATCTTATCTATAAGAACCTTCTAGACATAAAAGCCTTAAAGCTCTTGAATAGTGCTTGACAAAATAGAATAAGTGAGCATTCTGTACAAAATGAAAGCGACAAACTAAGAGCATACTATTGATATCAATTTCATTCGAAACAAATTAACTGAGGTTGTAAGGAGATTGCCTGTGAGGATTAAAAAAAACCTAGAAAAACGAAAAAGACTAGTTAAGAAACTGCTGGTCTCTTTTAAGTGTTCCTTCTTAGCAATGACACCTTACGAAGGGCAATACAAGATACAGAGCGACCAAGCCAAAGTTACACAAAAATGTGGATCATTATGTTCTAGGAAAACCAAACAAGAACTTGGTAGGAAATTTTTACTGGAACATCTGAGTCTTACAGAGAGAAACAAACAGCACCAGTCCCTCCCCAACTAACAGGGAGGAACAA